GGTACAGAAAAAGATCAGCTGCGAGATTGCACTACACCATGTGGAAACATGATCAAGTTTTTACTGTTCATCAACTGGAATTACCTCTTGCATTTGGGAAAGAGGACAGGAAGCCAATTGCTAACTAGCAGTTTTGTATTTAATATGTTTCAAATGTATCTTTTTGAAAGGCATATATTAAAACAAAATACCAAAACAGCACTAGAGAGCCCAAACTGATGGGTAGGAGTCAGCCCACCGAACCACCCACAAAGCAATTGCCGTGAGAATAAAAGGGACTGGAATCTGGTGGGTACAAAGTAGAAGGTTTTAGCAAGAAAAAAGGTGATTTAAACAAGTATGTCCATTAAAAAAAGTTTTAGTGGAAGGGCACTAAGGATACTGTTTAACTTCTGTTAACTGTCAACTTCCTTTTTGAAGTAGTTCAGCTTCAGCACTGAGCAATTTTTCCTTTAGAATTTGATTAAAATCTGTGAACTGCAAAAATATAGTGAGATCAAAAGGCAGACCAAAGCTTCAACTGGCTTATTTCCCCCTCTTTGTAATTTGTGAATCCCTCCTCCCCTCAAATACTGACCTTTTGATACTTTTTGTTAGATCCCCAAGGCATTTAAAGTTAAATAATGCTTTCCAGGACCCTAGGTAACATGAAATATCTAGCTTCTAAAAAGCATCAGTACTTGTTTTGTCTGGCACATGGATTCTGACAGAATAGAAGTTACAGAGTCATCTGTGTCAACTTGACAACCAAGATCATGTACATTTAAAAACAAAATCCTTCTGCCTTCTCTGTGCCCCAATATTTTCCAACAAGTCTGTTAATCACAGCCATGACAAGAGGCTCAATACCACAGTAAGTTAAAAAGGTAATTGTAATTGCGTAGAGCCACTGTATTTGTCAGCTTGTTTCTGAGGTTAATACTTTCAGAACAGGGGGACCTCCTAACCTAATAACTGTTTATAGTAAGTTGGATGACTACTTGGAATATAGCTGTAACTTCTATACAAGAAAGAAAGAATGGCTATGGGGTTAAGAAACTTGGTCTAATCCTAGGCAGGATCATTAAAGAGAAAAGATGCATCTGACAGAATTCAGTTAATATATTACAGTAAACATTTAAAAATAACTGTATGCTGTTGCACTTTCATACAAAATGCAAGTATTGGCATCAACAGTACAAGGTCTACTTTAAAACTGTCACTTTATTCAATTCACAGACAAGACAGACCAATTCACTCTTCCATTTGACTACTGATCTAGGAAAAGCTTATTCTGAGAAAAAGCTGGATATTACTATAGTAGTATAGTACTAGTAGTATAGATAGTACTGTATTTTCCTCCTAATACGTCAGAATGGGATTTGATAGAGGACACTAATTGTGACAAGGATAAGTGGGCCACAAATTTAGTAGTTTAAGTGTTCTGGAAAATGACAGCCAGAAGTATTTTAATGATTTGGTCTTTTATTATAACATTCACAAAGTTACAGGGTTAATAATTAATGCTTCTATGACAACAGTTTACATACACTGGAAACTGCTGGTTTAGGAATTTTCTAACAGACCATAACTCACTTCCGTTACTACAGGAACAATACTCTATAGAAAGGGTCCTTAATATTTCTGTTCAGAAGTGACCAGCTGCCAATGATGTATGTGAAGAATTACAAGTGTTCCCATTTAGAGTGAATGAGATTCAACAATTTCCCCTATATTGAAGGGCAATACATCTTCTTTTAATTAGCATTTTAAATTTGCCTTAGTACTAGAATATAATTTTTCTTAAGCATATTACTGTATTAATTCCTTTATTTTCAGAATCATTATTCCCAAAAAGCAGATGTTAACATAAAAAGCAAATGGAAAGCAGACAGCAGAGGCAGTAAGACTATGGTGGATGCCTTAATAACAAAATTAATATGTTTTGTTACAGGGTGTGTATCTGATTATCACACAACACACACAGATCCCTTGAATATGGTCAATTTAACAACAACAAGATCAACAAAAGTCAGCACACAAAGGTTGGATATCTTCTTTACATCAAAATTTCTACAAAGGAGAGAGTACAATGCAATACACAAATCCATAAATGCAAGATACAGTACAATTCACACTAATTTACAAATGGTTATTTACACTGTTGTATGTACATATGCACTCAGACCCAGTTAATGAAAATCAGTTTAATAATGCCTTTCTGAAATGCAGATTAAGAATCACAGATGGAGTTTTAAAGTCATGTGAAATTGGTTATCACTTAAGTCTTTAATGTTTAGATGTTTTAGTAAATCAGGCATGGATTAACCAGGTCTGATTACAGAAATGTGTCAGAAGAAAAAAAATGCACACTATTCTGCTTTACAAAAGCAACCAGGCCACAGGTCTACTGAATGATGCTATTCATGCATGAATGCCATTGTTAACAACCCTCTTTATATTTACAATATAGGTTTAAAACTACAGCAAGAGTTATTAATTTAGGCATTCATGCCCTTAGTTTAACAAAGGCAACAGAATAACTTCTTGATTAGTCAAAGCCAGAATTACACAGGGATGTTTCCAGAGCTCATTTTTTCTTTAAATACCCTTAAATTATTACAAAGAGTGAACTTTCAAAATGAGTTTCAGCAAACAAACGTGTGTTCCTTATTTGAGTGTTCAGGTGGTTGATTAAAAGCTTGTGCAGTTGCAGCTACAGGCCAATTATTTGCAAACCCACAACCCCCTAGCTACTAGCTGACTCTGCTGTGGGCATAAAAACTAGTTACACCAGCAGGTAAACAATGCTGGGGATCTACATTGTAGCTATTTTTGTAATTACCTGTGCATATGCTCTTACCCCACAAAAGCTGAAGGGTGGCTACTTAGGAGGCTAGCTGTCATTTACCACAGCTTACAAGCACATGCACTCTGCAGTGATTTGCCTATGTAATGGGCACACTGTAAAACTGTCCTCATTTACCCTTTGACAACTGTGTGGTTGTCCCCAATTCGCAGAGTATCTTCTAGCAGAAGAGGAAAGTCCAAGCAGCACCAAATAAAACTGAGGAACATTCCCTAACAGCATCTCTCAAGAGCAGCTTATTGCAGAAATTCCAAGCTTATCACATTTTAGTCTTGAATGGGAGTTGGAGCACAGCAGTACTTTTAACGTATGAATGAAAAACCAAGCTTCTACTTATAGTGCCAAGCCTAGCCTTGTAACTTTTAAGTAGCCTTCTGCTTTTAAAATTTAGTTCAAACAAAACTTATGGTGCTAATATTCTTGCTTGTGAGCTCTACATAAAGAGAGTTCAGTGGAATTAGAAGCTCTGCATAACCAAGGCTGAGCTCCAAACGTGAAGCCAAATATGCGAGAACATGGTTACCTGCACTGTAAAAACAAGCTTAAAAACAAAACAAAACACAGCACAATTCCAAAACAAAATAGTACTAGCATGTGACAAGGGAGTTCAGCTTAACAGCAATTGTACTGTCTTTAAAAACAAACAGCCACCCCTATATAGATTTTAAAATACAAGATGAGCCTTTAGAGTAGCTGGGAGACAAGGCTCCATTAATTTAATTTCCCCAGACTAAAATAATTGAAAATGTTGCTACATTTTCACTTCCACATATTTCTAAACTACACATGAATAGTACAAGAAATAGACCAACCACTCTGGTCAAAAAGACTGCTTTTACCACAGTTCTGAAATCGAGAGCTGAAACACTCCCACACTGAGCAGAATCTTAGTCCAAGACATGGCATGCTGAAATGAGAAGCACCCCTCGTGGAGCATGGAATACCAAATGCAAGATTGTCAGATTCATGCTCTTAGTGAGAAGTCAGGTTTTATTTTGGATACTAATATTAAAAACTACTCACTGCTTGCTAGTTTAAGGAGCTCTAGAAACATCCTTGCTAGTGCTACAAAAGGAAAGTGTAACTTTGAGTTTTAGCTACTCAGTTCTTTAGACTATACCAAGAGAATCTGCCCAATCTAATTACTTTTTTTTTTTTTTTTTTTTTTTTA